AAAACACTTACCTCGATGTCGAAATGGTCGCCCGTTTCCTACGGGCGCTGTCACATTCCCTGGGGCTGAAGTGCCCCTAACAGTTCACTCTGCGCCACATGGCGCTTCGTTCTTAGTTTTTAGTTTTTTTTTTTTTTTTTCAACGGCCACTTCCTGTGCCGTTTCGCCTTAGTGGCAATCAAAACAAAAGAAAAAAATGAAAAACCAAAAAAAAAGGAAAAGAACCCGACTTACCTCGTGGTTCGATCAACCTTCGCAGAGCCCGTACCTGGGCGCTTAAGCGTCCAACTACACGACAGGTAATTTTTTATTTTTATTTTTTTCCCAAAATAAAAATTTTAATTTTATCATTTCTCAATTTATGCATGTCATCCTCGTTCAGGGGCCATATCACCCCGGCGCGGCTGATTTCAGCCTCGCGATCCCGATGATCGCACGACCGAAAATCGGCCGCACCCCTTGTCGAGTCACGGGCTGCTCCAAAAGGAGCTAGCCCGGTAGTGCGTTCGTCAGGTTCGATCCCCATGTCTGCGGGGTGGCAATCAGACGACGGTACCTACTGGGCTAGCTCCTTTTCACATCAAAAAAGGAGCGGCCCTTCTATATGAAGGGCTTCTGGTGCCCAACAGGCCCCCTTCCTAGCGCCTAGCAGGCTATGCCTGCTAAGCCGGCTTGTTGCCGTGGCTGGCCGGCGGGGTCGACAGCCGACAGCCTTGACGGCTGCCCTACCCAGCCGGCCCCGACGCCTTCGCCCCCGGGTCCTCGGCGCATAAGCCCGATGGACCCTAAGCAATTCCTTCATGCCGAGGTCCCCTTTTTGGCCCACTTAGGCCCTGAATCGCGCGGCTTAACAGCCATGCGCTGAATAAACTTTGGTAACATGAATCTCATCAAGTCCTCCAATTTAGTGAAAAGGTCAGACAACATCTGACGTTGAAAAACACGGGCAGATACCCTTGTCAGGGTTTTTGCCCCGACAGCATTCCCGGGCCCGATTGAACGACTTCCACGTCGTTCACGTGGTCGGTGCTCTCAATATTAAATTTTACAGATACCTCTCTTAGTATCTTTTAATCTTAATAAAATCACAAATACTTTAACAAGCGGATATCCAAAAAAACGGACTCCTTACTATTAAACGAGTTATGCCCTCGAAGCCAAAATTCACAATTATTCTGCACTCATCGGATTGGTACCAGATTCAGCCCCTGGAAACCCAAAATTCAAACTCAGACCCAGATTTAGCCCCTGGAAGCCTAAAATTCAAAGGACTTAGTTTTAATGGTTCTGGCTAACAATTCATTCGGTTGGAAATCATTATTTCAATCATCTGGGCAAGCAACCATCACTGCCGGGAATTTAACCCGGGTCTCTCATGTCCATGGGGATGCATCCACAACACTTCAACACACTCATGTGTTGCCAGAAGTTTAACCTGGACCTCCCACGTAACACAAAGATACTCGTACTATACTACAGTCACGGTTGTCGGGGATAATAATAGCAAGGCTCCGGTTTTCCACCATCCCTTCTGGAAGACCCGTATTAACCTTCAGCTAATTCCCAGAATGAGCCAGGAATAACCCCTGACAGGTCTCCATAACCCAACCTATGATAATCGTTCAGACATAATCTGAACTAGCCATCCAATACAAGAACTCATTATTTAAGTCCTTTACCCAAGTTTCATAACCCATCCAATTGTGCAATTTTACAAATGTCTAAAATTATTATGTCTAAGTATCCCTGAATTCTAAGTGACTTCGTCGAGGAGTGGTGTAATCCCCCACAAAGGATAACATCTCGACATCAAGCCCCGCTTTAGATTCGAGCCTCACCGCATTCCCTCCGATTCCAGTATCGCAACTCTGTTAATGCCACGTCTACAGGACGAGGCAACCTCATCCATATAGTCCAAGTTGGTCAGACGAGGATCATAAGGACGCAGCGACCCTGCATATCACAAGGATAGATGACCAACCCCACCCCTGTGATAAGCAGCGATCGCTCCCCACCATAGGCGAGGTCTCAACAGGATTACGACACCATCCTCCTTTTCGGTGATAGTGTAATCATCGCCCTTTTTAAAGGAAAATGACATCATCTCGTTGTGGACCAGGAACCAAGTCCTGGGACGAGTCTCACTATCACCTACAAGGCTTACATCTTTCAGGAATATCGAGACACAATAAAGACTAGGTATTACATATAAACTTATTATATTTATTAAACCATGTGCCTACAGAATGAATACTTATCGTTCAGGAAGCCACATGTTACACACTAAGTCATAACTTTGCACAAATGATTCACACCCATCCTTCACAAGGAAAACATATTCAACATAAGAAATAAAAGAAATGCATGCTCAGAGAATCATTTTTATAGGGTTTGAAAAATCATAATGCACATCAATTATCTTGCTAAAAAACGAAGAATAATTACAAAAATGATGTCAACAAGTAATTCATTACAAGTCCATATGTGTCTGTCCATTACATGAAAAATATATCTTACAAATATTTAATCATAAAATCAAGTTAGCCAGAGGTATCAATGTTTGTTAAGAAAAGTAAGGCATTATTTAGTCCCTATGAACAAACTTCTTCAAGCGTGAGCCTGAAACCCAATCTCGCCCACGTTCTCTATCCATCTCCTCAATCTCGTATGCTCCATGCTCTGTTTTCTTAATAATACGATATGGCCTCATCCATCGATTATCTAATTTTCTCGACCACTGCTTTTCAAGAGAAGAGTCATAGAGGAGGACAATATCCCCTACTTCCAACGGCTCCTTCCTAACCCGGGGTTGCTTATTCCATCTAACTTTGTCCGCCCGCCTGCTATCCGCAGTTGACGCAGCGGCCTCTGCAACTCTTTCCTCAGTAGCTTTTATTTATCTGGCCCTCAGGTCCAGCCACTCTTTTGTAGACAGCATGACCTTCATGTCCTGTTTTTGCCATGTGGTCGGGAAACTTTCAACCGGCAATGTAGCATGTCGTCCAAACCATAACGTACCAGGAGCATACCTAGTAGTCCGTTTTACGGTTATATTTTCAACAAATATGGCAGCTGTGAGATAGACGGGCCATGTTGACGGCTTGCTAGCACACCATTTTGCTAGCAAGTTAGTCAAGGTGACGTGACCACGTTCAACCGGAGGATTAGCCTGGGGGTGTGCTCTACTAGTATAACTATAGTTCACTCCCAGTCTTTTCATAAGAGCCTGAACCTCTTCTGCCCGAAATTCACCGCCTCGATCCATCACAAATTTTCAAACAAATGGATACCGAAGGTAAAACTCTTCGATACATTCTGCCAAAATCTTCCCAGTTCGCTCACGGATCGCACGCCCATCAACAAACCCGGTAAGATTATCTCTCGCATCAAAAATGTATCTATACCCATTAAGCCTGGGTGGCATAACGACCAGATCGAGGTGCACAACCACACCTGACTCAACCACATACCGCGGATTAAGTGGCTCAGCATAGCGGAGATTCGAACGTTTCTGATAAGGGACACACGAGTTGCAGAATTCCACCACCATCTTACCCATACCATCCCAAAAATAGAGATGTTGGATCTTTCTTAATGTCACTCGTGCAGATCGATGTCCGCCCGTTATTCCATCATGTAGAGTCGCAATCACATCCAATTGTCTTGGAACCCCACATACTATTCTCTTAGGCATACCATCGTCAAACTTTTTGAAAAGATGTCCCTGTCGAACGACAAAATCCTTTGCCTTCTCTCTTATTTTTGGCTCTATCTCTGCCTCGTTCAAATCCCCATTCAGCCAAAGCCCAATCTTCTTATAAATCCCATCATATTCCTCCTCACGAAAGGCTTCTTTAATCTCACTGTCTTTCCCTTCTTCCAACATTAACTTGCCGCGATCTTCCTGTATCAACGAATTAACGAGAAATACCATTCCTCCAGAAATCTTGAGGACTTCGTCGCCTTGCTCATGTCCCCTTTCAATCGTAAGGGGTTCTTCCGAAAGTTGTACTGGGTCACACAATGCCAACCTCATCATTTGTTCCGCGGACTGTTCGCCCCAGGGATCCTCCTCAGTAAAGGGCTCTCTCATCACAAGTTCTGAACGCTTCTGATAACAACTCGGAGAACTCCAGATAGACTTCCCAGGTCGGGACGAAGCATTGCTAATATACTCCCAAACATTGATACTCAACTGTTGCTCGTCCATTTCCAGAAATCCATCAACAGGAACCGAGTCTTCTGCTTGATCTTTCGAGGAGTCCCACTCGATCCGACTCAATCCATCGGCTCGATTTTGTGCTCCTGCAATGCGCTCGATCTCGAAATCGAACATCCAGATATAAATCAACCATCGAATAATAGTTGGATCCGAGGGAGAATAATTCTTCAGTGACTGCGCCAGGGCAGTCGGATCCACCCGCAGGATGAACCGTCTTCCAAACACGTAGTTACGGAAGATCCTGAAACAATGAAGCACTGCAAGAGTTTCCTTCTTAAATTGGGAATATCTTCGTTCCGCCTCATTCAGCGTCCGACTTTCAAATCTCAATGGCCTTTCTCGCCCTTCTCCGTTCTTTTGGATGAGGACTTTTCCGAATGTCGTAGGGCCTGCATCTGTTTCAACCACGAAGGGCCGATTCGGGTCATTGTCAAAGCACGGAACCCCCAGGATCAATCCTCCTTCTCGGAATTGTGTCTTAATATAGTTCACCGTCGCCTGTTGCTTCGGACCTCATTCCTATTCCTGATTTTTACGCACCAACTTCCGTAGGTGCTCCACCCTTGCTGCGAACTTGCGAATGAAGATACGCAAGAATCTGCAAGTCCCCAAGAAACTGCGCACATCAGTGATGGACTTAAGCGGAGTCGGTCATTCCAGAATCTTGTTTGTCTTCATGGAATCTGGCCGACGACCCTTCTCATCGCACAAGAAGCCCAAGATAGTCGCCTCACGCATACAATGCCGAGATTTGACGCCGTTGGCGGTGAGGTTGTACTCCTTTCGAACACCTGGCAGCACCTCCGTCTCGTCCTTGACACGTGGCCCAGGTATGACCAGATCATCGATATAAGGTGAGGTCACGTCCGGACAAAGCGGCTGCATGACTCTCATCATATATCTCAGAACAATCGCTACGACGTTCGTCCATCCTTGAGGCGCCGCACACATATGAATTAATCCCCTCGGCGTATGCATGGCCGTCATCGACATGTCTGCCGTATAGAGAGGGAATTGATCATATCCTGAGTACAAGTCAATGAGAGTGATGATAGGTCTGCCTGCGCACGACTTAGACAACTGATCGGCATGTGGAAGTCCTCCGGCATCACGAACCGACACTGAGTTCAGCTTCTGCAAGTTCTGCACCCATCGCAATACGCGACTTGGCTTGATGAAACAAAACCAAGGGGACGCATATGGTCCATACGAGTAATCCGCGACCTTTGTCCGAATTTTACCGTCCATATATTCGACAACTCTACGATGATCATCCGGATTCGGATAACGCGGGCCTCGTATGTTCCACGGCTCGTGAGGTACCGTATGAATCCTGATCATTGGAATCATGTCAACGTCAAGCCTCCCTCGCTCATCATCATCGAAAGCATAAGCCAAATGGGTTTTCTTCATGACGCTGACAAGGAAGTCCACCTCCTTCTCAATAAGAGACCCTTCCTCTCCAATGATCATATTCTTAATCCTCTCCTTCGTCAATCGACATTGCGCCTTCATACTTTTTTCCTTCCTCATCCTGATCCATTCTCTTTCTTCTTTATAATACACGTTTTCTTCTTGCGTGATCAAGACAGGCACTGGCCGAGCTTTCTCGCCTACTCTATTGTACGTATGTTTCGCTCCAACTCCGAGTCCAAGTCGTCCACCTCTAAAAAAGATCCTTGCTTGGCTGCTGGTTCTGCCAATACCTTACATTCAGAAGACCTGTCGAGCCGATAGGTAAGATACATTTTACCAGTCCCGCCTTCTCCTGCCACAATCTCTGTCAGCGTTTGGACCAACTTGGGGTCCACAGACGAGTCTGTCCCAACGAACTCGATCGCTTGAGAGATGTTGGGCAGAGCAAGAAAAAATTACTGGAGATCGCTCTCTTCTCCGAGGGATTTCTTCTCCCTCCTGAGTCTTTCGGATTCCGTGAAGGAGTAAGACCCCGGATTGAGTCGGTTCCTTGAGTTGGTTGGTCCTGTGTTCTCACACTTCAGCACCTCGTAATAGCCACATATGGGGTCACACAAAACCACGATCATAGTATCATCATGCTTGTTAAAGATGATGGATTCTGATCGACATAGGAAAACTCTGCCCAGCAACACGGCATGCTCAACCCTGGGTAATACATAGAAGTACGAATGGACTTTGACTTTATCAGCTTGTATCGTCACGTCACTCGTCGTTCCGCAAAAGGGAGTTATCCCACTTGCACCCACCAAAAATCTAGTATCCGCTCGATTGATGTTGACACCTGTCCCCAGGGCTTCTCTCTCACGTATGATGTTCATCTCAGCTCCATCGTCGATGAGCGCCGAGTATTCGCACGGTCCAACTTGCACTTTCAACAACCCAGTTGCTACACAGTGCCAGTCCATTTTTGTCCCAGGAGGAGCCCAACTAATCTCCTGGGGAAAGATATCACTCATCTTAATCGTCATAACCTTCTTCCTTGACAATCGGTGCCTGAACTCTTCTCGGATTTTGGGAGACGCGGCCAAGAACTCCTTGAGCGTGAACAAATCGCGCTGGCTTTCCAAAATCCAGTCCACGATTTGCTCAATATTCAGCCCGTGCTCTATTGGAATTGTGTAGGCTTGCTTCTTTTTTTTCAGCTCTCCTTCCCTAACATCGGCCTTGCCCGTTTCTGGCTCCCTCTCCATGGCCCATTGTTTGGCCTGCCTCTCATCCTCGGCCCGCAACAATTCGCCCTCCTCGCCATCGTCTTCTTCAATCGGAATTATCTCGGTTTCCCCAAGCTGACTTGGCCCTTCTTCTGGTGTTGTCCTTGGCCGCGGCGGCCTTCGAGCCCTCCGAGCTTGTGCGAGGCCAGCGGTGGCAGGTCGCTTGAAGGCAGGACGGGACAAGACCGTAGCGGCCATCAAACGCCCTGCCGACGGCAATCCAGGTTGTGATGCGGTAACATCAGTAAGACCTCCTTGGCCGTCTCTGTCCCATCTTCCAAACAGAAAGACTTGGGGAAGCCCGAGCCACTCTTCATTCATGTCGGCACATACTTGAACAAAAGTTTCCCTGCATCGAGTCATTTTTCTGACCACTGTCTGAGCTCGCTGCAATATCCTTTCCTGTTCTTCACTCAACCCTTCATTTGCGGTCTTGGCATCTTCAGTCGTCAATGACTCCATCGCCGCTTCCAACTCAATCCGTTCGACTTCTTCCGGGGAAGTCAGTCGAAAAGTTGTTGGGAGATCTCGCCCCATACGTTCGAAGGCTTCCTTTCTCATTCCTCCCTCCACATTGGGATCGATGAGGTTCCCTTCGAAGTCGTAGACCTCGCCTCTGATATTCGCATATATATCCTTATCATTTTCATCTTTGGTAACGGTCTGACAAAACCGTATCCCATGCCCATCTTGGCCACAATACTTGCAAAACCAATTCTGCCAATTGCCTCGGCCGCCCCCATTTCCTCGGCCTCCCCCAGTGTCTTGTCCTCTACCTCGACCTCGGCCTCCTGCCGAGGTTGGGGTTGCTGAGGAGGGGCCTGCGCCGCCTGTTCCTGATTGCTTCCTTGTCCACCTCCTCCATTATTCTTCCGCTGCTTTTTACTAGTGCCTTGCCCTCCTCGTATCTGATTCAGGGCTTTTCGTTCTGCCTTGGTCAACTTTCGAGGGGGCTCCAATTCCTCCTCGTCTTCCTCTTCACTGCTGCTATTACTCACTTCCTCCACAACGGTTGCTTTCCCCTTCCTTTTCCCCCCTTTCGTCTGGACCATCATCACTTATAGCTTTAACCTTTCCTCCTTCATGTCAGCCATTATGTTCCGCATATCAGTCAGGGTCTTGTAAACAGTGTGATCCTTGTCCGCGCTTACCCCTTCCTTCTCGCGGTCCTCCTTTTGCTGCTTCAGGAGACGGTAAAGCATCTGGTCGAAGCTTCCAGCCAACAAATTTTCCTTGATCTTTGGCCAGTCGTATCGCCCAGTCATATCCTTCATCAGTTCCCGCTGCTCAACTTGAAAAGTTATCGAGGAAGATAAGGCATCGATCCTTATCTGGAAGGTCAGGCACTAAGCGCGCAACCCGTTCAAATTCCGTGAGAAACTGCTTGGCCGTACCAAACTTTCGACGACTAACTTTTCGTAAGTCCGCCAGGTCGAGCAGTTGATCCCCCAATTGGTACTTGTCCAATACCTTGGCTTTGAAGTCCGACCAATCGCGCGAGGCTTGCACCAACTCTGACACCTCTTCTTTATACTCGACCATACAATATCACTTCACCATTTGAAGCATCTTCTCATTCGTCCATTCACAACAACTGCCCAATTGTTCAAACTTGTCCGCCCATGCTGAGGCATTGGTGCCATCGAAGAGGGGAACTTGAACTTTCGGCAGCTGCGTCTTCTGATTATCGGCCTCTCGAATGGTCGTGCGAGTTCCAGAATGTCATTGCGTCGATCCCCTGCATTACTATTCACAGGATCAACAATCCCTCCCGTCATCTTCAGAGAATCAACACGGCAAAACCCACACGACCAAGTGTCAAATAGGTTCCAACAATTCACTCCAAACCTTGCCTTCTTTTCTTTCTCCAAACATTGATAACCACTGACTACTTTCAATCCAAACAAACAACATACAACACTTAAAATCGTTATAACCATCATTTTTCCCATGTGTCGTTCCACCAGGGACAACGGTAATTTGTCGACATCCCCGGCAACGGCGCCACCTGTCGTGCGCATCGGCCCCCACGTGAGCTAAGGGCCCTCCTGGCTATGTCACGCATGAGTTATAACAAAACAAAATTAAGAGACAACTTACACAAGATTCTTGTTTTTTTTGTTATTATTACCCTTGTAGTGTCACGTAGATGTGGCCCTACAAAAGAACAACTTACCACTGCACCTGCCTCGAAAGGGCGCCCTCAACCAGGATAAACCTGTCGGCCCTCACGGACCTCGGCCTCTATCCGGTCGAGTCGCGTAAGCTCCTCGTCGTCAAAAATCAAGGTGGAGATACGTCCACCTCGCACGGCTCGGACCTTCCGCGTATCATACAGAGAAGCCACCCGTGAGGCGAGCCACCAAACTATGGCGCAGAACGGTTGACGCATCCGAAACAGGTGCGTGGTAGTGGTTTCTTTAATCCGAATGACACCATAGCACTCCCCGGATAGGGTAATTTTGACGCTCACAATGACCCGAGAAAGGCATTGGAGGTCGCTTGCGCGATGGAAGTACAAGGTGTATCCATGAACTTCGTTCGGAAGTCGGGCCACATTGGCGTGAACATCCGCGCGCGAGTTAGGAAAGAATCCCTGCCCACCACTGAGCAGGCCGATAAAACCAATCCACCACATGGGCGCTCCATCCCGAACGAGTAATAATCGCTCCGCTCGCCGGATCAGCTCCTCGTCCGTATGCGCGAATGAGTAGATACTTGGCCTGAGTGAAGTCCGGCCGTCCGCTAGGCATCTGCACACCAAAGAAGCCACCTGTTAGAAGAGGCGCTCATAAATTTCACAAGCCTCGTCATAAAACGCGGTGACGTCGAAACGTTCCGAGCGAATAATATTAAATTTATTCGCTCGGACCCGTCTCACGTGATGAAGGAGGTCGAACGGACCTTGCAAATCGTTCAAATAAAGTACAATATGGAGGAACATCCCCCTAACCTCAGGAATGTTCTCCACTCCCGGACAGTCCTCGTGAACCACAACTAGGTTTATGTCTCCATAATCTCCTGATGGATTAGGCGGCGCAAAATCATATCGCACAATACGCTGGCCTGGCTCAACCAAGAAGACATAACTCCGCGGTGGTTTCCTCACGCTTCTGTCCCAGAATCGTGGCGCATCCTGTTCCGAGTAAACCTCTAGTGGGTTGTACACCAGCCTTCCTTTTTGTAACATGCTGGCGCGGGATCGTGTCGGCACCACTAACCAATTAGCCGCCGTCTCGCGTGTGCTAAACAATCGGAAAATCACTGTCTCTGCAAGCATCTGGATGACGAAGTGGTAACTTTGTCAAAATAAACTCAGATATACACATTTTCATGTTCAATCTTCACTCCCCTTTTTCGGGCCGTGATTCTTGTGTCACGGTCCGAACGCGAGGGTAGTGCCTAATTGCACCTCCTTTAACACTAGTTGAGTCACGGGCTGGGCTTCTTGTGGCGCCAGCCCTCCTACACTTTGGTGGCTCCTAAAGCGGCCACCTGGTCGGATACTAGATTCTGCCTGCCCTTTACCTGAAAGCACGAGGAGGCGACAACCCCTAGCTTCAAGACACCCTACCCTCTAGGAAGTGGTTTGGAATACCCCTCCCCCTCGCCCGAACACATTGTTCAAGACTCAGAAATGACTCCACCGCAACAGCATGGTATCCCCCCGCAAAAGCGGTCCGCTCCGAGTCGATAACAGGGTCGGCCCCTAAGGCAACGAACCCCCACCTCAGATACCTCCTAGAGAGAAGAAGCCTAGACCCTAGGTGCAGACGACCGCTCTATGCCTTCCCGGCTAAGGGTCGACTTAGACGAATTGAGAAGAGAAAGAAGTAAGATATTTTGGACGGGCATAGAAGGATAGTGGTCGTTCGGGATAGAATGGGGAAATCCTTGGGAAGATACTTAGGTGTTCCGTTGTCTTTTTTTCTTTTAATTTTCCCACGGCCTTCATTCTTTCGGCACCCGTCTGTTCGCACTTCCATTATTATTTTTGTTTCTCCTCTTTTCTGTCACATGCATTCAGGTTGAGTGGGAGAGAGGTAAGCATCCCCATTATTATCTCGAGCAAACAATGTTGATCCCTTCTCACATGTATCTCCCAACCTACCTGCACAATCAAGAAAAGAAACAATTCAGAGATTCATCCATCCCCAAGACAAGTCAGCCCTTTCTTCACACGCATGACATCACACTCTTACTCTACCTTTTCCCCTGAATTCAAAGCAAGGTCATGCAAGGTGAAGGTTCACGCGGGTGTGCAAACGAACTGAGTCGCACTAACCTGGAGTGAATTTTATGAAGGCTCACTCAAGAAAGCCGGTGATTTTGTCAAGAAAAGTTCTGCCGCACAACCTTCGTCGTGGTCGTTCTCAAGGACGAGCCACACCCTCCTTCAAACGCCACCACTGACTCAGGCGCCGCTCACCAACACAGAAGCGAACTCGCCGTTGAGGAGAGTGTCCCACTCTCAAATCCCATAGCCTCAACGTCACACCTTCCACCAAAAACAATGCCGATTCAACCCACCAAATACCAAGTCAGGTCACCACTTGCCGACCGCAATACTTGGTGGTTCGGGACCCAATCCCCGCTTACTCGGTATGCCGCAAAAAAATGACAACGGCCTCAGCAATTCTTACAAGTGCCGAGTGCCGCAACGCCGTCAACAAGACGATCGCCACACCCTTTCTATTCCATGGTGCACTTCCACCTTGGCGGTACCGTCCCTGTGGCAACGCCCAATCACCCTTCTCGTAATCCTGTGCAAAATACTATCTCAACAACCTTCGGCAGCGCCTCCGCCGTACTGCCAAGATACCCAGCGCTGTCGCCGCACAATTTAGGCAGCGCTTCCGCTGCACCGCCAAGAAAACCGGTGCTGCCGCCGCAAGAATTCGGCAGCGCTCCCGCCGTATCGCCAAGAAAATCGGTGCTGCCGCCGCAAGAATTCGGCAGTGCTTCCGTCGCACCGCCAAGAAAACCGGTGTTGTCGCCGCAAGAATTCGGCAGCGCTTTCACCACACTGCCAAGAAAATCGGTGTTGTCGCCGCAAGAATTCGGCAGCGCTTTCGCCGTACCACCAAGAAAACCAGCGCTGCCGCCGCAAGAATTCGGCAGCGCTTTCGTCGTACCACCAAGAAAACCAGCGCTTCCGCCGCACAATTTCGATAGCGCTTCCGCCGAAGGGTACAGCGATGCGGCCTCCTACTCAAGAAAATCCGTTGTCGCACGGCCCAATCCAACAGCAGCCTTACGGCTATGGCTCCCCCACAGCCTGCAGCACAGCACAAGAGGTGGGGCAAGAAGCTCTCAGCCTCTAGCTATGGCTGCCTCCTCCTCCTTACAAGTGCTTCTGCAGACCTCCACCACTTCGCCTCATCACACCAGCATCCAGCCAGCCAGCATGTACTCAAGTAGAATGCCCCAACAACATTGCCACAAGTGTGAGGCTGTTGGGTGGTAGGCTGGCTTTTATAGTTGGCTGAAGGCTGGGGGCAGCAGCTTTGCCCCCAGCCAAATCCCGGAACAGAGTCTGGCCCTGGATCAAAATTGCGATCAAGGGCCAGGGAACTTGATGTTCTCCTAGGAGAACCAAGTTCTGAGCCCTGGTAATGCATTTGGCATTCACCCGCGGCCAGACGCAGCCCAGAAACGGCTGTACTTAGCCACTTTCAAGTAGACTGTTCGCAGACTGTTGAAACGAACAGTCTGCTATCTATCCATAGTCCAGATGCTTCTAAGCTTGCATCTGGACCGAGGCCGCGGCTAGATCCGCGACAGTTTCCCTTTTTTTTTTTTTTCAACTTCCGCCTTTTTTTTTTCTTTTCTTTTTGTTTGTTTTTCTACAGCAGGGGCAGCTCGTCGTTTAAAAAAGAACGAGCACATCAACCCCCCAAGTCATTTCACAGAGTCGGACAATAGTCAAGCTCAACAGGGTCTTTTTTTTCCCCTTTGCCTCGCGCCCGTACCTGGATGCTTTCAGTGTCAGGTTCGGGCGTGCCAGCAAACACTGCAGCCCGTTCCTACATCCAACGGGCGTAGGTAAGTTGGTCCCTTTCTCTCTCTCTCTCTCTCCCTTTCTCTCTCTATATATATAACCGAACTTAGCCGCCCACGGGCGACAAATTTATTCGATATTGCTCATCCAAAGATGAGTTGTTGG